GCCTTGGAAGTTTTATAGCCTGATTCCAGCTCATGTTCTCTCTACTTCCTGTGTGTAGATGAAATGTGATCAAAGAGATTCCTGCTCCTGTTGCTGTGCTTTCCCTGCCTGTTACCATGCCCTCTCCACCATGATGGAGTCTGTTTGGGAACCATAAGCCAAAATAAACGCTTTCCCCCATCATTGCTTTTCAGGAAGGTTTCTATCACAGCAATAGAAAAGCAGCTAATGAAACAGGTTTCCAAAACTTTAACCAACAGCCAACTGTCCAGGTGAGTGTATGGAGGAAATAGAAAAAGATCCTAACTGAACTTGTAGAGATTAAAACCAAATATAAGAGATGAAAATGTATTACATGGGGTTAACTGAAGTTTAGATGATGTAGATGAAAATATTGATGACCTTAAAACATCAATAGTCCAAAATGAAACATAGAACAAATATTTAAAAATAAAATTAGTATCATATCCACTCCCACACAGAAAAGAAAAATACATCAAAGCATGCATGTTTTATGTTTTTCAAAAGCAGTTTTACAGTGATAATTCGAAAGTATCCAGAAAGTGTTCTATTCAGAAAGACACCTTAATGACTGCAGCAGTGAAATAAAACAGTGTAATGAAATATTAGGTCGGAACAATATTTTAAAAGTACAAAAGAAAGGAGGAAACTCCCAACCTAAAACAAAAAAAACGTAATTTCACAACTGAAGTAAAAGCCTTTCAGATACCCAAAACAAACATAGTCATCACAAACAGACCCAGTCCACAATGCTGTGGAAAACTATTTTGCCTAAGTGCTTCTGAAAGCATGCTTAAGTATGCACAATGGCTCCAGCAGTTAAGGATGTCTACATCTTGTAAAGCTGCACAGACCTGTGTGTTGAAGCATTAAAAGGAACATAGTGTCCTGGCCCCTGGATTTGATAAGAAGAGCATTCTAACCATAGGTCAGACATAAGCTCTGTTATGTTAAGCTACTTTGCTTCTTGGCAAACAAGTTCTCTGACTAAAATAGCATACCCGGAGGTCTTGAAAAAGTTTCTTTTTACAAGGTTTTCTGCACTGAGAAATGGTCTTTGCTTGTTTTACTTTTGTAAGCCAATGCAATAAATACACCGTGGGACAAGAAATCAAGGTCTCTGTTCCCTCAGCAGAGAGATTCCTGGTACCCCATTTCTGAGATTCTAATTAAATGTTCTGTCTTTTCCTTCATGCTTTGCTCTCTCTCTTGAAGAATTTATGAATCCCTGCACTGAACATAAACATCACTAGAACTCTTAAAAGATGTTCTCTAGAAAGATGGAAAATGCTTTCAGAAGGAAATAAGATTCTATACAAAGACAAAAGAGCCAAAAGAAATGAGAATGTCTTTGGCAAATACACAAAATGTTTAAATTTCATAAAAGCATATTTAATTTATTTACAGATTATGGAGTTTATAACATATCATTGTAAATTTTTGATAGCACATTTCCTAGAATATAATACTATGAAAATACTTTTGAAACAGCACATGATAAAAATTATGATAAAAACTAGCTTAAAAATTATTCACCATTGCTTAACACCATTGCTTTTTAAATGAAATTTTCTGCTATAGTACTGCTTTTCTCATCAGTGATACTATTTGTTTGGGAAATAATTTGGATAATATTCTCTGCTGTTTTTCTTACCAAAAGTGATAGTTACTACATTATAACTTAGTTTTGCATACAGGTTGATTTTAAGAAAATTCAGTCACTTATTTTGACTGTTTTTATTCAAAACTACACTTCTGTAAAATACTCATTCAAGTGATGTTATAAAATTTGATTTCTGTGGCAGTATAGTAATCACCAAATTTGCCATATTTTTGTACCATTCTAATGTTCCAGTAAGTTAATCTTTCCTGGTATAGTTTTATTTATTAATTCCATTGAGCATAGACATTATTTTATATATGTATAAATAATAATTTTAACCTTAAATAACACTTATGCATTATATAAAATTTCAGTATTATGTGCATATGAAAAAATGTATTTTGAATTTTGAGTATGCTCATGTGTCTGTGGTGTGGGTGTATGCACATGAGTGCCCATACTCATGGAGGCCAAAGAAAGGCATGTGATCCCATGGAGCTGTAATTACAGGCAGTTTTGAGCTGCTTGACATGGGTGCTGGGAAATGAACTGGGGATTTTACAAGAAAAGTATGTACTCTTAAGGGCTGAGCAATCTCTCCATACTCTATATGAAATAGTTTAAACATTACTCATGATGTATATTTCTGACATAAGTATACTGTAGGTAATTTAATTGAAGTACTTAACAAATAACTCCCAAACTAGTTCTGGTGGCCTATTAAAGTCACTTCAGTGTGTGTTAGAGTTTTAGCAGACAATGAAGAGTGAATAAATCTTTTGAAACAAAAATGTAAACTTTTAAATGTTTTATTTATTTTATGTGTATGAGTGTATTGCCTGCATGTATGTGAGTGCACCCATGTTGTATAATGCCACAGAGGTCAGATACCCCTGGAACTGGAGTTAAGGATGGTTCATAGCCACCGTGTGTGTGCTAGAAATCAAACCTGGGTCCTCTGCAAGAGCAGTCAGTGCTCTTAGCCGCTGAGCCAAATGTAAACTTTAATCTTTAGCAAAGAAATCTGATAGAAATATTCAAAGAGCACATTACTATTTGAATGTATCCTAAATTATCTTTAAGTAAGTAAATAAATCTGACTGAACATAAGGGTAAGAAAGAAAATTAAGTCATAACAAGTAATATGTATGCCTTATGGTTATAGAAAGTTTTCTAATTATTCATGTTTTTGAATTATCTATATTATACTCAATCTTATCTGAACCATAAATGTAGTATTGTTTTGTCAACTTAAACAAGATTTATGAAGATTAAATGAATTGTTTTCTGCAAAGAAGCAAGCATGACCTCTCTTTATTTTAGTCACCTCTTAGTGGCCATGATGGATCAGCTTATGTTAATTTCTCAATACACAAAATTTTAATTCTTTAAGTAATATCAAGCAGATTAGAACAATTTCAGTAAAGAATAAGTTCACATAATTAGAGAAAATGTGATATTTGTCTGAATCTGGCTTATTTGATGTCCCCTAGATTAATACATTTTCCTAGAAATGACATTACTTCATTCTACTTTATGGTTGAATATTAGTTATAAATGTCTAAATAAATAAATATATATGTCATATTTTAATCTAAATTGTTGTTGAGCACCTAGCTGATTATATGTCTTGGATACTAAAAATGTTGCTACAATCACCACACACACATTACACAAACAATTGTGTTTTCTATTGTACTTCTGATCCCTGTTGTAATTTTGCTAATTCACAATCATGTCAACAGTGCATAAGAGTTCCTTTACTCGCAGATACTGTGATCACTGCTTGTTAGAGAGCTTACTCTATTTTTAGTTTTAGTGTGTGTTTGTGTGTGGATTTGTGCACATGAGTACAGATGCTCACAGATGCTGGAAAATAGTATCAGATACCCTGGGGCTGGAGTTAGAGGTATATGTGATGAGTTGCCTGATGTAGGTGCTGGGAACTGAAACTGGGTCCTCTGCAAGACCAGGATGAGATCTTATTTTCCAATCCAACTTTCCAGAATAACTCTTATTTTTTGAGTTGATTCCTGAGATGGAAGCCTCTGCCCCCACACGTGCACTGTTGTTTTCTCCGCCTGCACTGGAATTACAGTGTGCCTCATCATGTGTAGCCTACATTTTGATGTAATGTACACATTCTGACTGTTATGTGATGGAAACTTGGTGTATTTTATTTTCGTTCCTCTGATGAATAAAGACTGAAAACACATGTTCTTCCAATTGACCAAGAAATGTGGCAAACTTTCACATTTCTTTATTTAAATAATTAATAATACTTGAAAATTGGGTGGACTCGAGAGTAACCTTATCAAAACTCAAAACAAAAGAGTTAAATTTGAGGGGGTTGGAGAGATGGCTCAGCAGTTAAGAACACCCACGTGGCATCTAACAACTGTCTGTAACTCCAGTTCCAGGGGATCCAACAGCCTCTTCTTCCCTCTGCAGGCTTTGCACGACATGGGTGCACTTACCTACATGCAGGCATAACATTCATACACATAAAATAAAAATAATAAAATATTTAAAGAAGAGTTAAATTTGAAAAACATGAATAACAGACTGAACATCCCAAGTGGGTGAAGAGATCTTTGTACCTAGATAGCATCCCTGAAATACACTTTGTACTTTGAAGATTATAGAACAGTCCTTTCACCCAGGAAGTGCGCACGCGCGCACATGTGTGTGTGTGTGTGTGTGTGTGGTGTGTGTACATGCATCTGTATGTACATGTAGGTGTGCACTCTTAGGAGATGATTAGCAATTAAACTATACATAGGTATTAGTTAATACATAGCATGTTTTAAGGTATGTTGGCTTTCTTGGTGCTCTCCAGAAAAAAATCCTGAATCTTTTGAGAATGAAATTTAAGATTCTTTTATATATCAAGCTTTCAATAAAATAGATGAGTTCATACTGGTACTGATTTTAGATGAACAAAGTTTCATAAGTTGATTGACAGTATCTATATACTCTATGTATTGAGTTCTAAAATTTTACTAATAAACAATGAAAGATGATGAACACAAAGGAGAGAGAGATTAAACAAGGAACAAAATTGCAAACAATGAAAAAGACTGTCTTTATTTGCATGCAGCAAATGGGAATTCAGCTTCATTCTAGTATCAGCTCTGTAATATGCAAGTCTTTTGCAGAGGCTTTGAAACATGTAAGAAATTTGAGACATTATGGCTATACAATTTTCCAGAAATGTAAGATTGAATTCATCTGCTATCACACTGTATGTCTACAGTGCCTGACACAGAACTTAAAAGAAGCAATAACTTCACTGAACATCCGCACATTAAAGAAATTATAATCAGTGAATTACACCTGCCTTCTGTTGTCTTTCTTTTTAGCTTGATCAGACATAATGGATTTACTAGATTGGATTATCTTCATCATAATAATGACTGAATTTATCATAGGCAACTGTGCCAATGTCTTCATATCCATGGTGAACTTCATCAACCGGATCAAGAGAAGAAAGTTCTCCTCAGTCAACGGAATTTTAACTGCTCTTGCCATCTCCAGGATTGTCTTGCTCTGGGCAATATTAATAAGTTGGCATTCATCTGTGTTTACTGAAGATCTGTACAATAACCAAATAAGAGCCACTGCTATTATTGTCTGGGCCATAAGCAACCATTTTAACAACTGGCTTGAGACAATCCTCAGCATATTTTATTTGTTCAAGATAGACAATTTTTGCAATCTTCTATTTCTTCACCTAAAAAGGAAAACTGAGCATGTTCTTCTCATGGCACTCTTGGGGTCTTGGGTGTTTGGGTTGCTAATCTTGGTGTGGTGAACAAGATTCCATGGCTGAGTACATATGAAGGTAATGTGACTTGGAAGACCAAACTGAAGGACATCACGAGCCTTGCAAATGTAACTCTATTCAGTCTGATAAACCTCACACCTTTTAGTATATCACTGGTCTGTGTCCTGTTGTTAATCTACTCTCTTTGCAAACATCTGAGGAACATGAAACTCTATGGCAAAGGATACCAAGATCCTAGCACCATGGTCCACATGAAGGCCTTGCAAACTGTGGTCTCTTTTGTCTTGTTATATGCCATATACTGTCTCTCTCTAATCCTAGCAAGCTGGAGTTTAATAGGCTGTTTAATGTACCAGTTTTCACATCTTCCATTGCTGCTGGTGCCATCTACCCATCAAATCATTCCCATATCCTGGTCTGGGGAAACCAGAAGCAGAAACAGGCCCTTCTTTTGGTTCTGTGGCGGGCAAGACGCTGGCTGAAAGAATGAACACCTTGAAACCCAAAGATCAACAAGTAAACAAGGATATGGTGTGTCTTCTAGATAAAAAAAAATGATAGTCAGTAGAAATATTTGTTTTCTACTACTGTTTTCAGAATACATATGATTAAAGAACTTCTAGAGCAATCCTTAGAAAGTCTTTTCCTGAAGTTAGTTAATAAAATAGTACATAAGTGCATTTTGGTGTGAATATATGAAAAACATAAGAAAGATTGTGGATAACTTTCCCTTAACATTGCCTTCTCACAGACAACATAATTATATAGACTACGGCAGTAAATTCTTCATAACTATGAATCCATGCATATATGATGACTTACCCTGTGTATCCTCTTTGAATTTCACCACATGTATGTATGAAGTATATCTAGTTTTTTGATGCTTCATTCATTCTTAAATGGAAGGAGCATTTTGTTCTAAGTCATGTACCAAAGTGCGTATTCCATACCTTTCTGTTGGTAAAGAAAGACTGCAGTTATGAATGTCACGAGTGTCGTCAGAGCATTCAAGCTGATTGCTCTTTTTTTTTTTTTGGTTAGAGCCCAAGAATTTTTGATAATTAAATATTTTCTGTATAATTAAGTACTAAAATAAAAAGTTTTCTCAAAGTTTAAAAGAAGTGTATATTTAAAATACACATTATTTCTTGAAATATTATTTCTTTTTTTTTTTTTTTGTCTTTTTGAGACAGGGTCTCCTTGAAGCCCCAGCTGTCCTGGAACTCACTATGTAGACCAGGCTGGCCTCGAACTCACAAAGATCTGCCTGCCTCTGCCTCCCAAGTGCTGGGATTAAAGGCATGAGCCACCACGCCCGGCTCTTATTTCATTTTCACTAGAGAGTAAATATAATTATTATTATAAAATATGAAAACAGTAAAATTCAAGGGAAACAAAAATAGAGTAAATATGTAGATGTGTATAATAAGTAGTATAGATTAATACTAAATTTACTATTAAAATGTCCAAGGTTTGAAAGAGATAATTTGTATAATGGGATAGAAATAGTCTCTACAATTCTTTAAAAAAAATTTATTCCTGAAGTTGAAATAGATTTTAATTATTTAAATCTGATTTTCTTCTTCATTTTAAAAACATGTCTGAACATCTGTATTTTTTAATCACTTTCCTCATTTTACATTCTTAAAATTTCTTTCAACTTTAACACATGAAGACTCCCTAATTTAAAAATATTCTCACTATAAAACAGTATGGAAATAATTACATATAATTCATGATCCTTTCTGAACTCATTAAAAATGAAATATATGAAACAGAAATATAAGGAATTTCTTAAAGATTTGGTTTCTTATAATTGAGTAGAAAAGGTGGAAATGAAAGAAATGTTACCAGTATCATTGATGATAATTTGCATTGTAAGAAGGAACTGTAGGGACTAGAGAGATGAGTCAGCAGTTAAGAGCACTGGCTTTTCTGGCAGAGGACCTGGGTTCAGTTCCCAGCACCCATATGGTAGCTAACAACCATGCTTAACTTCAGGTCCAGGGGATCTGACACTCTCTCCCAACCTCCACAGGCATCGCATGATATAGGTGCACTTACATCCATGGGGGCAATACACTCATATGCATAAAATAAGAATAATAAATAAAATACTTAAAAAGAAGGAAATGTGTTACATTTTAAAATCACAGAGTTCTACATGATAGCATTAATTTGGGATGCTATGATTAAGTTGCTCACAAGTGCGGTGTCTACAGCAGTTATTTTATTTATTTTTTGGTACTGTTGTGAGGGGAAATGACTGTAGTTGGGACTTCAACTCTTTACTAGTTATATCTGCTTGAGGCTGAATTGTTAGCTAGATGTTATCATTTCCCCATACTTCTATTGGGAGAGTGTCAATGTCTTCCTGTGGGTGCCAGGCTATCCTGAACTTGCTATTGATCCCAAGTTTGTGTCAAACACTTGGATCTTGTCCTTTCACCTTCCAATGTTCTGAGATCATGTTTATGTGACACCACACCCAACAATCCGACTATCCTCCAATTCTTTCCATTTTTTTCCTTTTAATATTTTATTTATCTTTTTTATTTTTTGTGTATGAGTGTGTTGCTTGCATGTATGTAAGTTCACCCTTGTCACACAGTGCCCAGGGATGTCAGAAGATGGCATAAAATCCCCTGAAACTTGAGTTACAGATGGCTGTTAGTTGCCAAGTGGGTGCTGAGAAATTCTGCAAGAGCTGCCAGTGCTCGTAAGCACTGAGCCCTCTCTTCAGCCCCTTTTTTCTTTTAAAGATTGTTGTGTTAACATAGAAGTCAGAGCTTCATTACATTTTCACACATATATGTCAACAGCTGTGTTCTTATTTGTCCACTAGCCCCACTACTCTGTCCCTTTCTTCTTCCCACTTTTCTTTTGGTCCCTGTCCTTCCCCTAAATAGTCTCCTTTTCTGCCTTCACGATACATGTATTCCCAAACTCATTTATCCTACCACTCCTTCCCTTGAGATCTCCATTTCCTTTCTCATAGTCTCCTTTCTAGTTTCATTACACACACACACACACACACACACGCACACACACACACAGACACACACACCCAGATACATTAATTTCAATCTCAATTTAACCTATGGAAGAAGCATGGGGTATTTGTACTTTTGAATTTAGTTCATTTTGCCTCCCTTTAAGCCTTCTAGTTCCTTTCATTTTTCTATAATGTCATGAATTAATTTTTCTTTATGACTGAAGAAAATTCCATTGCTAATAAGTACCACATCTGCTTCATCTATTCCTTTACTGACCGTCCTCTTGGCTAGTTCCATATTGCATTTATTATGACTAGTGCAGCAATACACATGAATTTACAAGTATGTGTGTGATACGCTTATTTGTAGACTTGCTTCACAGGGAATAACCCAGGAGTGGGTCACATGGTAATTCAAGTTTTAGATTTATAAGAAGCTACTCATGAATATCTATAGTGGCTTCCCCAGTTTGCTTTAGACCCATAGTGCACACATGTTCCTCTTTCCCACATCCTTGTCAGAATTTGTGGTGACTTCTTTTCTTCAGGGTAGCCATTCTATTTGGGTTGAGATGGAATCACAAAGAAATTTTCATTTTCATTTTTCTGATGACTAAGAATGTAGCCATGTTTTCATACATTAACTCATCCTTTCCATTATAACAAATCTGTTCATTTGGGAAAGAGTAATTGCATGGCTCAGGCATTGGTCCTAAGATATGCAACTGACGCTGATCCATGTGAAAAATCTGCAGGACAATCTTAACGTAACTCCTTTTCCTCAAACAATCCAGAAGAGTGTGTCTCCTCACTCTAATGGTAGTCATGTCCTTGCTGCACTGCAAGCAAGACCAAGCCATGTGAGAGTGAAGCATCTTTTTATTATTTTTTGAAAATTTTCAAATTTAAAACATACATTTTGATCATATTAGGACCCCCTTTCTTATCTTCACTACTCTTATAGACCCCACTGGTATTCGGACATATATATTAAGATTATATAGAGTTTGGGCTGGAGAGATGGCTCAGTGGCTAAGGGCACTGACTGCTCTTGCAGAGGACCCAGTTTCAATTCCCAGTACCCACATGGCAGCTAGAAACTGTCCTTAACTCCAGTTCCAGGGGAATCTGATGCCCTCTTCTGACTTCTGTAGCACTGCATGACACAGGTGCACTCACATACATGCAGGCAGTACACTCATACACATAAATGAAGATATAGAGTTAAATTTGTGTCCCCAAATGTCCTTCAGTGGGGATCCCATCCACTGGAGCCTGGTTAATCTATCTATCTTCACCCTTGAAAAGAAAACTATCTCTTCCTTACCAAGGAGTTATTGGTTATCAATAATTTATTACCTAAGGTTGGGACTTCTTACCCAATTCCTCACTTCTGTGTTGGAATTTTATCTGGTCTCAATTGCTTGGGTCTTGTACATTCTATAACAATTGTGAATTCATATGAATAACTTCTTAGCTGTCTGGAAAACTCTGTTTCCCTGTGCTCTTCATTACCCCTGGCCCTTATAATCTTTCTGCCCCCTCTTCCATAATTGTTCTTGAGAATTAAGTGACAGAGACTTGATATAACTGTCCTATTCGGGGATAAGTACTATGCAGTCTCTTATTCTCTATCATTTGGCTAGTAGTGATTTTCTGGGTTAATCACCATCTATTGTATGAGGAAGCTTTGCTGATAAGAGTTGAGAGATGTACTGATTTTCTTTCTGCTCCCAGCTCCACTATGTTCCCTTAGCCTTAGGTATAGAGGTTGCATTGTAGATGTGTCATGTAGGGCTTATACTCCACATTTAAGGACATGTAGTCCTTTGTAATAATCTCCTTTGGTTGCAAGAAGTATATTGATGAGCTGTAAGCAGACAAGCTACATTTGTCTGTGAGTAGAAGAATAAATATTTAAAATACAGCAAGAAACTCTTAGTCTAGGGATGGGACAAAAGTAGGTTTTTCTCTAAGACTGATGATGACCTCTCCAGCTCTGTGTATTTAGTTATGTTTACAGTACCACACATGAGTTACATTCCATTGATCAGGCCTTCAGTTAAATTACAGAGCTCTTGATTACGCCCAAGATAAAACTACCACTGCTGCACAAATAGAGATTATTTGTTGGGCCAGCTACTGTTGTGATTTGTAAACATTACTTCTGGATGGGAGCATTGATTGTTTTTAGTTTTTTTCCACTTGGCAATTTGCATAGTATCTTCTAATGGGAGAGGCCTTCAGGGAGGATATTTTCAGGTCAGTTCCAGTTTGATTGTGCCAAATTCTGTGTCCAAAGTGTATTCTGTCTCAGCAGTATGGTCTTATCTTCAAGTTCTGGCCAGTAATCAAGGACTGCGGCAATAGCCTATGTTATTTTGGGAATTTCTTAGACTCCCTGACCAACAACTCAAAGGGAGGTTCCCCTGCCTGGTACTGTGCTTTTGGTTATACAGCCTTCAGCTATGCACATTCTCTCTCATCTCTCAGTT